TAGTTTTTGGAAACACCCTTTATAGTTAGAGCCAAAGAACAGCATCCAAAGTATAACATCCCTCTCCTAAAAAGGAAAAACTCAGATCACTTATAATTGGATCCTTTTCCTCAAATTATCAATAATAAGAGCTAATAAGAAAAATTCTAGAAAACTATGTTTGGTCATATAAACCAAATTCTATTGAAACTACTCAAATATATATTCTCCATTTAAGTTAACTATCTTATAGTAACTCATCTTCTATTTTCACTCTTCAAAATTAAAGACTATATTGTATTTGTATTTAAAATATTAGATAAATTTGAATTTCCATAGGAAGACCATGAAATTTCCAACTATTTAAACATTTCAAGATGTTACTTTAAAAGACAAAGCAGTTCCACACACATATTAGCAGAGTGTTCTCACTGTGGGAGGAAAAGCCAGCAAAGACATGAATTTCTAAAATAATATGTATGTAAAATGCAAGAAAATTCTTCAGATCCTTAATAAAATGCCAACTGGTTATGATTAGGGTATTTTTCATACCTTTTCTCTTCATATTTTCCTCACAGTTCAACCACATGTATATTGTATCCTCTTCAGCCACCATAATAGCTGAAAAACTTTGTTGTTTTGACCACAAAAGTATGAAAGTATTTGACCACATAGTATGAAAGCAACAGGAATAAGATAGAAATTATTATTCCTCCAGGTAACATGGTTCATTTTTATTTTGGTTTTCAAATAGTCAAATTTGTCATAAAAACAGAAGTTGAATAATCACCGGCACAGTGTATGTTACACACATACATTTTTTATTATATATCATTATTATATGCACAAATAACTTATAAATTTGCATATAAAATAAGAATGCCCAGATTTTTTCTAAAAGCACAATTCACAAATGCAATAAAATGAATAATTATCAGCACACCAAAAACATTTTTAATAAGCAGAAATTAGTCAGTTCCAATCATTTGGTATTGATTTTGGTAACCTTATCAATAGTTTCTAACAGAATCAAAATACAAATCTCATATCTTATTAAATACGTAAAAGAATATGTTACTTTGCTAGCTTCCCAAACTATTGTTTTAACCAAAGCATATTATTTATATTGGCCTACCATACACTTGATTGACAAGGCAATATTTTTAACCCTAGGAGGAATAGGCAGGAGACCAGTTTTTGGAAAGTGTAAGGTTTATGTAAAAGTCTGTCAATCAAAAAACAGTGGTTTAACACAGATAACACAGCTTTTGGTGAGGTTTCCATGATATCTACCCCTTATCTTTGAAACACGAGTGCCATCTCAACATGTGGGATCTAGGGAAGGTAGGTTTCCTACAGGCTTTTCCCAACTGCAGAGGCTTGTCAAATTTCTATATAACATATAATCTTAATAAAGGGGAAGTAAAAATAAAAACCGTCAAAGGTTCTATGAAAGTACATGAAAATGGGTCCATGTCATTCTTTAAGAACTAAGTAGCTTCAAAAATTTGTGATGAAGCATGGAAGAAAATAATAGTAATAATGGGTCATGAACACACACACATAATCTAACAACCCACAAATAATTATTTTTTTACATAGATGCTCAGGTAGAAGAAGTCAAATATGCTTAAGAAGAAAAGAAAATATGCTATGGATGGGTAAAGATATAAAAGTTTTAAACTATGAAACTCTTCTAATACAAATGAACTCAGTACATAATGATTTTTGTACAGAGACAATACTCCACGTTTTTTTCTCCCCCATGGAAACCTAATTAAATGTTAAATTAAAATTTAAATCATAACCAAATCTGAATGTCTAATAAAGTCCTTTCATCACCCTGTTGTCCTTCAACATCTCATTTACACTCCATCTGGTATTTTACAGAAATTATTTGACTAGAATACTCATGTATCCAATATGTATATTTTAATTTTCTTCCTACTTAAGTGTCTTAAGGTTAGGTTTTTATAGAAAGGGTGGTATTCTAAGCTGGCAAACTGAATGAGGCTGAGTGTAGAATGAACATAGCATTCAGAGAGAGCAGCTAAGACAGTCTGGTCTGCTTGAGGTAAGTTTGGAAAGAAAAGGTGGAGTCAGATGGTAAACAGTCTCCTGACTGAAGGGTTTCAATATCAGCTTAAGAAAAATGGGAAGTCACTGGACGTCCTTGCGCAGAAAAGTAACACAAGAAAAGTAGTATTTTAGGAACACTAATGTCAGAACTGTGTAAGGGATAAACTGCAGGAAAGGAGACCAGAGACAAGGACGAAAGAAGGAGATTACAGTGCCCAATAGAGAAAACAGTTTGGAGGCATAGGATGGCAAAAGGAAATAACAGCAAGAGCCTGTACTGGTGACCGACTGAAAGTGAGGAACAATGAAGAATCCAAGATGCCCCTGAAGTTTCAAGGCTAAGTAACCTGGGAAAATGGTATATTCCCTGGGTAGAAAATAAAGGCAGGAGCTAGACTGGAATAGAAGGTGACAAGGACAGCTTGACATGTTGCCTTGTGATTTCAGAAGGATCCAACTAGAGAGATTAAGAGAGAAATTAGCACTAGAAATAGATTTGAGAGAGCAAATTATGAGCTAGTGTTATCAGTTCACTACTAGAAGAATGTTGAGACAGAGCAGGTGAAGGGCCAGATCTTACCACTGGGGACAAGAAAGAAGGACGTGACAGTTCTCTCAAAGTACAGTATAGGGAGGAAGGAGCAGTAGCACTGAGGAAGGGATGAGAAGATAAAGGGAAATGCAAGTGTCACAGAGAGGCCAAAGAACAGGAGAAATGAGAACGTATATATACTCTCAGATTTCACCAAAAGAAATTGCGTTACAATGGTAGAAGCAGCGGCCTCAGAGATTACAGGGTATTTAGGGGAAAATGAATAGTAAGGAAGTAGGTATAACTCTAAGTCTGGGAATGGAAAAAGACGAGACTAAATGAAGGGTCAGCGCAGATTTTCAAGAAAAGGAACTGAGTCATAAATTTTCTTTTTTCTTCAATTAAAAAAACAGCTTCTTTAAAATTTTACTTAGACATAAAAACATAAATATATATACATACATACACATGTATCATTACAGACTTTTTGTTGTTACTCATTTTTTAAGTACAAACTTTCGTTACTCTCAGCATCTGCAGATGTAGACCCTAATGCATGACTCAGCAGCAGCTCTTCTTACCCCTTAAAAGTTTTATACTCTAAGGAGCAAGATTCTCAAAGATATGTTTCTCCCTTGGAAAATAAAAAAAGAATATATACATAAATGACCACTTTAAAGACATCACCTTAAATAGATAAAACTTGAACTGCTTAAACTTGCAAAGTAATACATTATTAGTTAACAAATCATAATGAAACGAAATTCATTGCTATGAACTCTATTAAGTAACCTTAAACAGGCTTTTATTCATTCCATTTGTGATGTAATGACAGTTGATTTGGGGGGGAAAAGAGACCATCTGTATGTCATGAAAACAACAGATACTTCTTTAGACTTCACAGGTTACAATTAGGAGAGAGCTATTAACTATAGTGTGCTGATTGCAATGCATTTCATTTTTAAAGACACTCCTTGAGCCAGACAAGTGTTGAAATGTTTTCTTGAAGGAATAGTAGAACCATGATAAAGATTAGAGTCCCAAGAAGAAAATGATAAATTATTTCAAAGTTAGCCGACATGACATGTAAGAAAACATTGGAAAAAAGTGTGATCATTTGTCTAGGACCCATCATTAGAGAAAGAAGAACAAAACTGAGAGGTACTCTTTACCTCTACTGTGCCTGAATAATAATCATGTCCGTACGCCTCCAAACAGAACACAGGTCACCAAATATTTTCACAAACATTATCCCATTGATTCTTACAAGAACATTGTGAAATAGAAAAAGGATTCTCCTTCTTCTTCTTTCTCCATGAAGAAACTGAGCCTCAGAAAGGTTAAGTAACTTGCTCAAGGTCACAAAACAGAGCTGGGTTTGAGACCCAGGTGGGTTCCCAACTCTAGGACTGGAGTTCTTTTTACCAAATCATGCTCACCACAAAAAGGAGTCAAGGATAAGAGCCCAACTGGTAAAATAAATCTGGATGAGATAGTTAACAGGTTGAGAGACAACATCCGCTAAAAGAAACTAAACTGGTGCCCTGTGAACATACAAGATGCTAAGTTATAAGAGGCTCTGATTGAAGAGTAAGGAGATAAATCAGCTGACTTCTCAGACCTCTTCTGTTAATTTGTAATTGATTTTCCAGAATATTATTATTTATTCTCTTTTCTTAAAGGCTCTTGTTCACCTTCCTCTTGATAGGTCTTTTAATGACAACCCCAAAAGAAAGGATGAGTACAGAAAAACATCTGGCAGCAGTTGGAACCTAAGCATCAACACTGTTGGCTTAAGTTTAAAAAATGTTTTATATATTATGTGTATAAATCATTTAGTCAAATTCAGTCTCATTCCTCACAGAGTTAAGTGTGCTTTGTAAGGGTTTTATTAACTTGCCTCACACGTGGTATAAAAAGGATAATGAATATACAGTCCCATCTCCTGATTCCCCCTCCAAAAAAACCAGCATAGGGCAGTCAGGTAATTTGAAAAAGTATCATATTAAAACATAACTTGCAAAAAACAAAAACAAGCACAAACAAATCACTCATAAGGCAAGAAGTCACATTACAGTAAAAAGTCCACGGATCAACCAGTACAAACCTGCTTAAATAGTCACACACAGATAACACTTCCAGTTAGAAAAGTTTCTTTAATTTAGTTTAAAATCTCTTCAGAATAGAATGCAGTTTTGCCAAGTTCGAAAGATCCTATAACATAATTAACCTTTATTTCCTTATTTATTTCCTTATTTCCTTTTTTATATACTTTATACTTACAAGTATGTAAGGAAAACATCCTAAAAAGCGTTTTCAACAGAACACTACAAAATTAATCTAAAGTAGAAGTCAGAATGGTGCCCAGTGGCTTTAGATAGTTATAATTAATAGAGAAGACGAACAGATATCAGGTGTCGTCATTGCCCAGTCTCTGCATCTCATCCTGTCCCACTTGTCCCAGGTGAGAGAGAAGTTTGCTATAGGCTTCCCTGTTTAAGAAAAAAGAAAAGAGCGCAGATCTCTTTATTACCTTTTCCATTATTAGTGGTTTGCTTCTTTAATAAACTTTGGGACATATGAATTACAGTATGACTACTGACCCCCCCTAAAACCATTTGTTTAGGAACTATCGGCTTATTCCCACAATGTTTGATTACTCTAAATAGTCCAGCACTATCTTCAGTTGGGTTGTAAGCCTATAAGAAAAAAAGCCTTATTATCTATTTTTGACCCAAAACCATATTATCTAATTGGATCACTCATCTTATTCACCGGTACACATGATACAGTTGATTCAGTAACTCAGGCATTCTTCAAAAGCGCTGATTTGCCCCATGGATTTTATACAAAAACACCTGAGGTTCCTAAGTCCACTTTCCAACGAGGAACACTGCATGTGTTTTGAGTAATAGCAGCAGTGGTGAAATATACAGCTTTCTAAGATGGTGAGTTTGAAAAGAACAATATGTGAACATATGTGAATCAGTATCGAAACATTTTTCAACTCAAAAGAACATACTCCAAATTTGGGGGAATAGGAAAATAAGCCATTTCTAGAAAGTGATTCTAGATTTTATAATCATTACACCCAAAAGGACGAATGCAAATTATCAAACATACCTTTGTGCTATATTTCTGCCAAGGCCCCATTTCCGCTCTGAATCCTTCAGAGATTGAGTGAGGGTAGAAATCAAGTGGATAACAACCTGCTGGTCCAATGCTGCTACTGTTTCTAAAATGCTGTAAATCTGATAATCATATCTCATACCATAATCCTGGATAAAATGCCTGAAAGTATATCAAGTTACTTAAGATTACTTCTAGGGCAATTCCTTGGGTTAGTATCTATATGGCAATCAGCTGTAACCATTTCATGTAGGATTACCTTAAGAATCTAGATGCCATATGAAAACGATTTATAATACTTAAAAATAAAGGACAGAAATGGCTTATTTCAGTGTGAGCCATGACCAGAGTGATGGCACTGCGAGGAAGCGGGAAAAGTTGTAATCCCCGGAGAGAGAATAGGAGAAAAATCTAATCCCAAGGACTTCTTCTCTATACCCTACATGTCGAAATCTGGGTAGTAATGATGCGCAAAAGACTAAGGAAAAAACGAGTCTAGTTTCCTAGATGTTTTTTAGTTCTTCATATCTCTAGATAAACCCAACAATATTTTTTTGAGGAAAGCAAGTTATTCATAACGTATTTTTATATTCCTTAACAGAACAAGAGATTTTAGACACAGAGGAGGTCTTTATAAATAAGAATTATATATTTTAACCTTAAAATTTCCAGTCTCGCCCCCAACAAAATAAAAGCCACTTAGCTTAATAAATCATACATAATAAACATGCAACCTTTGTTGATATAAAATCTTTTCTCCCCTCTTAGGGTTTCACAAATCCACTATTTATTTCAAGTGATCACAATTTAAGAAACTGTAAACACTTGACAAGTGCCAATTATGTGATGAGAAAAGAAACTGAGGATTCAAAGATCCAACACAGAATGAAGAAAATGGATGTGAATTATTTATCATGGTAGTGCTAAGGTAGCGAGATACGCAGAATAAAGGTGACCTGGTGGAAACTGTGAGAAAGCAATATTTTACTGCTCTAAGAGAAAGCACAAGACTCTAAAGAAGGCAAAGCAGGAAAAAAAACCAAAACAGAAAACGCTCCTCAAGTTGCGTTGTTATTCTTACAAATGAATAAAAGATCTCCCACAAAATCTATGCTTCACAAATGAAATACAATGAAGCTTTCTGGGTCTACAGGATCTAAAGCAAGTAAGAAGGCCAGTGACGTATTCTATACTGGATCCTGAGTGACACATTAGGCAGCTCTGGAGGACTGTGCACCTGTCATCATGACTCACGTTTCCCACTTTTTCCTCTTAAATCCATGCAAGAGTGTTCCTTATTCAATTCTCAGATAATTTTAAGTCAGCTCACTTATCTTTCTCCCTGGCACTTTTATTTTTTAATAAAACAACACAATGCAACAAAACTACTGCCAAAAATACAATAATTGAAATACTATAAACAAGTAGTAACACATTATGTTTTGGATAATTAGTTATTTAAAAAACATGTTGGCTGTCAAATGGCTGGCAATAGTCTCCCTGCCAGTTGGCATAGTTTCCAGTTACCTAAACACAGCAGTCAGCTGGGCGGCAGCTTCTCCTCCTGACCCCACTCGGCAGGCTTTTACCATGTACTGCAGGTTCTCTGTGGCCAGCCTTTTAACTAGGAGGAAAAATTACAGCATTACACACTGTGTCTGAATTGACCATCTGGATCCTAATTTTTATGAACACACTTGATTTAGAAAAATATGTCGCTTTCTTAAAGTATGTACATACTTTTTTATTTTTTAAAATGAAATAGTTGGGAGTTTTTGTTTTGTTCTAAAGTATATCTTCCAATCTTCTAATTTTCTTAAGAAAATATAAAAAGCTTAGGAGTCTATATTTTACAACCTTATAACTGAAAAAATACATGTTAAGTCTTTCTCTTAGAAAAGAGCTCATATTCAAAAACACTATACTATCCTAATCCTGCAAGCACTGTTACATACTGACAAAAGACAGCCTTTAATAATTCAGCTGATTTACAGACAAGCAGACTGTTTTTAAAATTCATAAACATATTCTTCCAACTCACTAACAAATATATATGTAGCAAATTAGAAACCACCAACAATTTACCTTCACTTAAAATCACTCAAATATATATATATCAACTATTTGTGATAACAAATATTTACATAGCAAATTAGAAACCACCAATTTACCTTTCATTTAAAATTAGTCAAAAATATACATATATCAACTTTGCAATGCTGTCTTCCTTTTAAGACAGCAAAATGACAAAAAGAACATTTGTATTCTTTAAGTATTTAGCCAAATCCTTTAAAATTGTGCACTTGTACACAAAAATGAAAAAAAGAAATACCAACAAAGAATGTAGAATATGTACCCCTATGTTCATTGCAGCATTAGTCACAATAGCCAAGACTTGGAAACAACCTAAGTGCCCATCAATAGATAAATGGATAAAAAAGATGTGGTATATATATACAATGGAATACTACTCAGCCATAAAAAAAGATGAAATCTTGCCATTTGTGACAGCAGGATGGACCTTGAGGGCAGTATGCTAAGCAAAATAAGTCAGAATGAGAAAGACAAATACCGAATGATTAAACTCATATGTGGAAGATAAAACAACAACAACAAACACACACATAGACATAGAGAATAGATTAGTGGTTACCAGAGGGGAAGGGGGGGTGGGGGAAGGCAAAAGGGGAAAAAGCAGGACATTTGTATGGTGATTGATAGTAATTAGACTTTTGCTAGTGAACACAATGTAGTCCATACAGAAGTTGAAATATAATGATGTACTCCTGAAATTTATATAATGTTATAAACCAATGTTACTTCAATAAAAAAAAATATATAGAAAATTCAACATGTTCCAAATGCTACTAAATTTTTGTTATGTTGTTTTTGGCCCATTAAACATAAGTAGCTGGGGGAAAAAGTGCTTTCACTAAGAATCAGAAAAATTTGAGAAATTGTAATCAATTAAAACAGGAGCACAAAATATATGATACACATGAACATAAATTAATTAATATTAAGTAGTAATGTTTTCCATGGCTTGAGGATAGTAGATAAAGAACATAGCATCTTGTCTTTATTGAGCAAATAACTTCTCATATTAGATACAATTCTAGAACTAGTATAATTTGTTCTATTATTAGTAGTACTATTCTATTGTTAGTAGTAATAGTATGCATTTTTTTAAAATAACAGCTTTATTGAGGTATAATTCACATATTAAAAACCAACCTCCTAAAGTGTACAATTCATTGGTTTTAGTATATTCACAGAGTTGTGAAGCCATCACCACTATCTAATTTCACAACAATTTTCAGCACCTTCCAATAAAACCTTATACCCATTAGCATTCATTTCCCATTTTCTTCCTCTTCTAGCCCCTAGCAACCACTAATTTACTTTCTATGTCTATGGATTTGACTCTCTTGGAAATTTCACGTAAAAGGAATCATACAACACGTGGTCTTCTGTGACTGCCTTCTTTTTACTTAGTTCATACAGGTTGTAGAATGTAGTGGCACTTCATTGCTTTTGATGATCAAACAATATTCCATGGTATGGATATACTCCATATTGTTTATCCATTCATTAGTTGATGGATATTTGAGTTTCCATTTTTTGGCTATTAAGAATAATGCTGCTATGGATATTAGTGTACAGGGTTTTAAAAATATATTTGCCATCTTTATTTCTTTAAACTGAGCTTTTTTTAAACTTAGTAATCTTTTAAGTTTTTTTTACAATAACAGCTTTATTGTCATATAATTCACATACTATACAATTTACCCATTTAGCAAGTACAATTCAATGGTTTTTAGTATATTCACAGAGTTGTGCAACCACCACCACAGTCAATTTTAGAATATTTTTTACCTTGAAAAGAAACCCCAAGCCCTTTAGCTATCACTCCCTATCCTCTGATACTCTAACAACCACTAATCTACTTTCTGTCTCTACAGATTTAACTACTCTAGATATTTCATATGAATGGAATTATATAATATGTGGTCTTTTTTAACTGGCTTCTTTCACTTAGAATAATGTTTTCAAGGTTCATCCATGTTGTAGCACATAGCAGTACTTCATTCTTTCTTACGGTCAAATAATACTCCATTGTATGGATATATCACATTATAAAAATCCATTCATCAGTTGATGGGTAGTCTATCTTTTGGCTATTATGAATATTGCTGTAAACACTAATGAACAAGTTTCTGTGTGGACATATGTTTTCATTAATCTTGGGTATTTACCGAGGAGTGGCATTGCTAGGTCACATGGTAACCCTGTTTACCCATTTGAGGAACTACCAGACTGTTTTCCCAAGTTACTACACCATTTTACATTCTCAACAGCAGTAAGTGAGGGTTCTGATTTCTCCATGTTCTCACCAAAACTTATTATCTGACTTTTTCATTAGAGCCAACCTAGTGAGTATGAAGTGGCATCTCACTGTGGTTTTGATGTGCATTTCCCTGATGCCTAATGACGCTGAGCACCTTTTCAGGTGCTTATTAGCCATTTGTTTATATTCTTTGGAGAAATGTCTATTCAAACCCTGTGTCTATTTTTTGTTGTCTTTTTATTATTGAGTTGTAACCTTTATGTATCCTAGATAAAAGTTCCTTATCATATAAATGATTTGCAAATATTTTCCTCGCCATTCTATGGGTTGTCTTTTCACTTTCCTGATAGTGCCCTTTGAGGCATCAAAGTTTTAAATTTTTTTTTTTTTTTAATTTATTTATTTTTCCCCTAAAGCCCCAAGCGATAGTTGTAAGTCATAGTTGCACATTCTTCTAGTTGTTGTATGTGGGACGCGGCCTCAGCATGGCCGGAGAAGCAGTGCGTCTGTGCGCGCCCGGGATCCGAACCCGGGCAGCCTGCATCGGAGCGCACGCACTTAACCGCTAAGCCACGGGGCCGGTCCGAGGCATCAAAGTTTTAAATTTTGATTAGGTCCAGTTTATCTCTCTTTTGTGGCATGTGCTTTTGGTGTCATATCTAAAAATTCACTGCTAAAACCAAGGTCATGAAGACTTATTCCCATGCTTTCTTCTAAGAGTTTTATAGTTTTAGTTCTGACATTCAGGTCTATGATCCATTTTGGGTTAATTTTTTTTTTTTTTTAAAGATGCAGACTTCCCCCCCCCCCACCCCCCACAAAGCCCCAGTAGATAGTTGTATGTCATAGCTGCCCATCCTTCTAGTTGCTGTATGTGGGACATGGCTTCACCATGGCCGGAGAAGTGATGCATCGGTGCGCGCCCGGGATCCAAACCCGGGCCGCCAGCAGCGGAGCGCGCGCACTTAACCACTAAGCCACGGGGCCAGCCCTGGGTTAATTTTTGTACATGGTATGAAGTAAAAGTACAAGTTCCTTCTTTTGCATGTGGCTATCCATTTGACCTAGCACAATTTGTTGAAAAAACTATTTTCCACCCTGGGGAATTATCTTGGCACCCTTGTCAAAAAACGTCAGTTGACCATAGACACATCCATTTATTTCTGGACTCTCAATTCTATTCCATTGATCTATATGTCTATTTTTATGCCAGTAGCACACGTCTTGATTATTGTTGCTTTGCACTAAGTTTTCAAATTGGAAAGTGTGAGTCTTCCAACTTTGTTCTTCTTTTTCAAGACTGTTCTGCTATTCTGGGTCCCTTGCAATTCCATATGAATTGTAGAATCAGCTTGTCAATTTCTACAAAGAAATCTGCTGGGATTCTGGTAGGAGTTGCACTGAAACTGCAGATCAATTTAGGGAGTACCAACACCTTAACAATATTAACTCTTCCAATCCATAAAAATTGGATATTTTTCCATTTATTTAGATATTCTCTGATTTCTTCCAACAATGTTTGGCAGTCTTCAGATTATAAATTTGTATTTCTCTTTTTTAGATTTATTCCTAGTTTGTTTTTTTGATGCTATTATAATAGAATTGTTTTCTTAATTTCATTTTCAGATTGTTCACTGAAAGTATACAGAAGCAAAACTGATTTTTGTATCTTGATATTGTGTCCTGCAACCTTGCTGAACTTAAGTTCCAATAGTTTTTTAGTGGAGTCTTTAGGATATTCTATAAACAAGATCATATCATCTGCAGATAGGGATGATTTTATTTCTGCCTTTTTAATCTAGATGCCTTTTATTTCTTTTTCTTTCCCTGACTAGAACTTCTAGTACAATGTCGGACAGAAGTGGCAAGAGTGGACATCCTTGTCTTGTTTCTAATCTTAGGGGGAAAGCATCTAATTTTTCACTATTAAGTATGATCTTAACTGTAGGATTTTCATAGATGTCCTTCATCAGATTGAAGCAGTTCTCATCTATTCCCAGTGTGTCATTATGCAATGCCCCTCTTTATTCTAGATAATTCTACTTGTTTTGAAGTCTACTTTGTCTGAAATCAAATAGCTACTACAGCTTTATTTTGAATTGTGTTAGAATTCTATGTATTTCTCCATCCCTTTACTTTTAATCTATGTGTGTTTTTATATTTAAAGTGGGTTTCTTGTAGACAACATATAGTTGGGCCTTGTTTTTTAATCCATTCTGTCAATTTCTGTCATCTAATTGGTTTATATACACCACTCACATTTAAAGAGATTATTGATATAGTTGGATTAATATCTACCATATATGTAACTTGTCTATTCATTGCTCTTGTTCTTTTTTTCTTAATCTTCTACTCTTTTTCGGCCTTCTCTGAAGGTTTTAATTGAGCGTTTTATATGATTCTATTTTCTCTCCTCTCTTAGCACATTAAATATACTTCTTTTTAAAATTTATTTTTAGTGGTTACGCCAGAGTTTGTAGTGTATATTTACAACTAATCCAAGTCCACTTTCAAATAACACTATATTCCTTCATGGGTAGTGCAGGTACTTTTGAACAGAGCATTCCCAATTCCTTTCTCCCATCCTTATAACATTGCTGTCATTCATTTCACTTATCCATAAGGTATAACCACCAAATACATTGTTGCTCTTATTATTTAGAACCAAAAGCTCTCTATGAGATTAAAACTAAAGAGAGAAGTAGATACAGAGAATTACAGCTGACCAGGACTGGCAAGCCTGGAAGCCTGCTGCTGGAGCTGATACTGGTAGAAATATTTAAACTGAATTTGACAAATTGTTGTATGCTCAGTTCTGATGCATCTAAGAGTTGTTTTTCAGTTTGTTCAGATTTTTTCTTGTTGTAAGGGTGAGAGTCATGACTTTGAATCTCTTTACATGTTGAAGTGGAAAACCAAAATCCTCCAACTACCACTGTTGAACTAGTCCTCCCTTTGTTTCTCTGTTTTTGCTTCCTGTATTTTGGTGTTCTGTTGCTAGGTGCACATATGTTGATAACTGTTAAATCTTCCTGATGGATTGACCCTCTTACCATTATAAAATGTCTCTATTTGTAGTAACATTTTTTGGCCTAACATCTATTTTGTCTGATATTTATATAGCCACTCCAGCTTTCTGTGCTTTTGGTTTGCATGATGTATCTTTTCCCATCATTTTACTTTCAACCTTTGAATCTACAGTGTTTCCTGCAGATAGAATATAGTTAGATCTTTTTTCAAAAATCTGATAATCTCTGCCTTTTGATTGGATTGCTCGATCCTTTCACAATTAATGTTACCACTAATACAGCTGGATTTACAATAGTCATTTTACTTTCTGTTTACTAAATGTCTTGTGGTTTTGTTCCTCTCATCTCCTCTACTGCTTTCTTTTCGCATTGTGATTATTTTAAAATATAGCATTTTGATTTATTTGATGATTTTTCATTAGTTTTGAATTATTTCCTTAGTAGTTGCTCTAGGATTACCACGTACATCTTAACTTATCAGAGCTGCAGATTTATATGAATTTACTTCCAGTGAAATATAGAAATTACTCTCATATTCATTACTCCATTCCCTCCTCCCTTTTTTTGGTATTATTGTTATACATATTACATCTACAGATGTTACAAACCCAACAATACATAGCTACTTTTTTATATGATTTTATATCTTTCAAAGAAGCTAAAGGAGAAGAGAAAGAAGAGCAAGTATAAATTTTAGCTTTTGTTATATTAACCTTCTTATTTATCATTTCTCGTTCTCTTCATTTGTTCCTATGTACTTGAGTTATCATCTGGAGTCATTTCTTTAGCTCAATACAGCTTTGCTCCCACTACCTTTGTACTATTACTGGTACATATATTACATTTCTGTGTTATAGGCCCAACAACACAGTACACACATATCATTTTATACAACTGATTTTTAAATAAGTTAAGAGAATAAGGTGAAGAAACACACCTTTATGCCGTCTTTTATAACTACATAATTACTTTTACTGGTGTTTTTTGTTTTTCCTGTCTGGGGTCACTTAACTTTTATTCTGAAGAACTTCCTTTTTTTTTTTTTTGGTGAGGAAGATCGGCCCTGAGCTAACATCTGCCAATCCTCCTCTTTTTTTGCTGAGGAAGACTGGCCCTGGGCTAACATCCATGCCCATCTTCCTCTACTTTATATGGGACACCGCCGCAGCATGGTTTGACAAGCGGTGCGTTGGTGCACACCCGGGATCCGAACCAGCAAACCCCGGGCTGCTGCAGCGGAGCACACGCACTTAACCACTTGTGCCACCGGGCTGGCCCCAAGAACTTTCTTTTTTATAGGGCAGTTCTGCTAGCAAAAATTCTCTTAGTTTTTATCTGGGAATGTCTTTATTTCATGTTCATTTTTGAAAAGCAGCCTAGGATTCTTGGTGACAGTTTTTTCCTTTGATCACTCTTAGTGTTATCCCACTGCCTTCTGGCCTCCATTGATTCTGCTGAGAAGTCAGCTGTTGAACTTACAGAGGTTCCCTGTAAAGCGATGAGCCATTTTTCTCTGGCTGCTTTCAAGTGTTTTTGACAGCACTCTTAGGCTTGAACTTTTTCACACTCTGTTGCAAATAAGGTCAGTTCCTTAGCGAGAGATTCAGAGTTTTCTGTTCTACGGCCTGCTTCTCCTCCCTTGCCTCTCCACCAGGCAAAATCTCAGAGGTGTGGATCTAGTGCTGGGGACAGGGACAATGGTGGCCACTACTTTTGAGTGACACATTCACTTTAGGAGCTCAATGCTTGTGGAAGGAGGGGCAGCAGCCTCAGATCCTCTCAGCTTGCTTCTCTTGGCATGGTACCCCCACCTCTAAGTTGTGACAAGGATGACTGGCACCCCAGTATTTTCAGTGGTGTCGTGCTCAATGCACTGCATCCATCGCACGAGTTGGGGCTGAGCAGAAGAATGAAGCCCCCACTTCTCAGCCACACTTGCCTGGAACACAACCTTGGCATCGGGTAGCTTGGGGGCAGGATGAGAAATGCTGATATCCTGCCTCTCACAGGATGATAGCTCTCCTACTGGGAGCTGGGGAGAGAGTGAGCCCTATGTTCTTGGATTTACCAGTCAGGAGTAGAGTTTCTATCTTACCGGGCTTGGGAGGAGAAGAAGGAGGGAGTGGTTCAAATACCACAGACTCTTGCCATTCTTACCAAGTTTTTGCAGATTTTCTTAAATAGATGTTTCTCCATTTGCTGTATACCCATAGGATCATTTCCAGAGAATTTAAATACTTTCTTTTAAATAATTTTCAACAGTTTTGCTGGGGAGCAGGTCAGCAGAGCTCCTTAAGTTGTCATGCCAGAAGTGGAACTCCTCAAACTCTTACGTACAGGTTTTTGGGCATATGTTTAAAATACTCTTGGGTATGTACCCCAGAGTGGACTTGTTGAGTCATTTAGTAACACTAACTTTCTATGCTTATACAAATTGTCCTTTTAAATACTGAGACTATAAGCAGAGTCAGAGAGAATTTTCTCTGAACTAAGCACACATATCTGTGCTTATTATTTCTCCTTCAGCTTACGAAGACAGCAATGTGGAGATGGAGAATTGTGTATTCCATTTACGTTAAACATGTGATGTACTCACTAGCTAGATATGAGCAGCAAAATTTACCTTCCAAACCCTGGTCTCCTTCATGAGAAATATTACTACCATTGAAACAAAGAGGTTAGCTAAAATTTTATACTGGTCTGCTCTATCTCAACAAATTTTGTATTGTACAGTACAACACGCTTTCACTGAAATTAAAAGTATGCCTACGTTTTCAATGAGGGCAAAATTTCTAAAGAAGAGTCTGGGGTCCATCCGGGTATTCTTCAGTGAAGGGATGTAACTATTAAGTAAGGGCATTCTATATTAATATAACACAACATTTTTCACAAAACCAAGCTTGGGAGCAGACAGGAATATTTTAAATATTAAAATAAATATGGATTAAAACAAAATATGCATAAGTTTTTGAGATAAAACAGAACATTTCAAAGAGCTGTTTGAGCTTTCAGCCACCACTCTGGGCGCTGCCCTCAGATTCTTCAGGATACACGCATCCTCACTTATCACAGCAGTTAGAAGCACTCAGGTAGAAGCATCTGAGAAGCCTTGCCCTGAACAATCACATTAGAACAACAAACACACACATACACAGCATCCCATTTACATTAAAAACTCCTTCAGGATAGAACCACGGCTACTATTCTGCATATTCCCAATAAGCTTATTAAAACATGCTACTCACAGTGGGGATCAAATAAATGATATTTTAAAGAGATCACTGGCAGTAAGGCTGATGAGACTGAAAACAAAAGGAGTAGGATCAAACGATCCATACAGGTTTGCCCAAGAAATCAGCTTAGATATTCTAGCAGAAACCTGAATAGAAGAAAGTACACTGACCCCTCACTACTTGATATTTAACAAGTTGCATTTAATACTGGAGTCAGATTGAACAAATATTCTTTAAGAGGTTAACAAATCTAATCAGAGGAAGTAGCCCTTAAATAAATTATTTGCCTTGTAGAAAAAACTAAACTAAACTAAACTAGACTGAAATATGTCAGTTTTTAACCATTTTATCATGAACAACCTCAGCTATTGGCTGGAGTTTTTTCTTTAGCCAAACTAAATTTGATTTACACTAAACAACATACACAAACTGATATACTTTTGTAACTATCACTTGAACTGATAGGAAAGAGTACTTTCTTAATTTGTGAACAGAAAAGGTGTAACAAACACAAACTCAAACTAACCTTGAGGTTCATTGACCAACACCAAGCATTTTAAGATGCCAGGGAGGAGTAGTTCAACCTCAGAAACGTCGATGTTAGTTTCTTTGAAGAGTTGGAGGATGAAGGCCAGAATGGATGCTAAGCGAGGAGGGAGCAAGGACCCTTTAAACTCAAAGTAGGATTTCCTGAAAATAAACACAATTTTGTTTTTTCTTCTGTTTAAAGTTTCACTACAGCAGAATCAAATGTCATCCACTTAAAAGATAATGGCAAATTTCACCCCTCAAATTAATAAAGCACATTTTAAAAAAATTATCCATATTTTACCATGCTATCTTCGAACATAAGATTTTAGAAGCACTGACTGCACATCCTTTTGGTATGTTATAGAGGCCAAAGCAGAATACAGACAGGAACTAAATTTAAAGCAATCTTGTCTTAAAATGAACTTAATCAAAATCCACATGAAAATCTAATTGTTGATTTGTTTTTTTCCTTTCTAGTATAAGCCTGATCTCCTTTATCAGCTCCTCAACAATGCAACATTTTCTCTAATGTCAAATTTGCATAAAGAAATCACTCCTCACATTTATTTATTTAGGGATTTGGGAGGGGTCTTATTTTTCCAAATCAAGGACTGTTCTAGGAATTAGCTTCCCATTCCAGCTTTACTTCTTTCCCTCCCTTAGGAAGTAAAAGAATCAGAGAGGTAATTTAGGATTAATATCGTCTCTCAAAGCAGGACAAATTTTAGCATTAGAACTCAACAGAGATCATAAAGATAATTTATCTGACTCATTTTTGTATCTCTACCTCTTAGAACAGGTCTTGGTTCACAACAAGTTTTCAGTGTACATTTGTTAAGTGAATAAATGAAAGCGGGAATTGCTCAATTTCTAAAAAGTCAGGATAATATGAAAAATTGTCAAATACCGCTAAATCTAAGCTATATACCCATATATACTTGCAAAGCAATAATAATTTGCCAAAATGAAGCACAGAAATCACTGCTTATTCATTATAAACTCCTTAAGGGTATGAACTATGTCTTCCTCATTATTTCTACTCCATACAGTGACTTCCAACAAATATTACACATTAGAAGATTCATTTATTCTTTGAGGGCAAGGGTTTTGTCTTTTTTGTTCACTGCTGAATTCCTAACACCTAGAACAAACATTTATTGAGTACCTATGGTATGCCAGGTACCAGTCCAAGAACAAGAAAGTAAAGTAAAATATGGTCTCTGAAAGCAAGGGGCTCACTGTCCAGTGGAAAAGTTGGACCAAAGGAAAAAAAAAAGACTATCATCATATAGTGTGACAGGTGCTTTGAAAGATAAGCCCAGAATTCTCAGGAATTCAGAGGAAGGAGCCCTAACTGAGACGGAGAACTGTAGGCGTAGAGAAGCATGGGATGGAGAAAGGCAAGGGAGGTAATCTCTATTTCTTCTCTGAGTATTCACAAAAAAGAAAAAGGAGCTGTTACATTTTTGGGTCTTGAACCGGAAATTATGAGAAAAATGCTTCCACTGGTAAACAGGAAAGTCCACTAAAGCAGCTAGGATCCTAAACACTGGGCTTTAAAACAGTTTCATGACCTTAAGGATTTAATTACACTTCAGCACTTGTCATTTGGTTTGTACTAAAATTACTTATACAATGTCTCAAACACTGTGCTAGAATATTACAATCTTGTTGGGAATTCAGGCAAAAATATTACAATTCTACAAATTGAATTGTACAGAGGATATGACTTCAGAAGAAGGAAGAACGCATCATGGTACTGAGATATTACGTGTAGGTCTTACAAAGTCTAGGCAGAACTTAGCCCAGAGGGATGGCATTTTAATGGAGAAAGTGGTATGAACAAAGCTGTGATGTAGGGAAATGTAGAGCATTTTGGAGAGCCAATAACTAAGCCAATCTCATTAGGGTTTGTATTTGATGCCATATGTAGTATATTTGGAAAAGTTAAGTGACAGATCATGGAGTGCTAAGAAGTATGAATTTATTCCATAGGCAAAAAAAGAGCAAATGAAGGTGTAGGGACAGGAGAGTGTCGTAATGGAACAGTAATTCAGGAAAAGTAATCTGGAGGCATTGTATAGGGTGAACTGGAAGAAAAGACTAGAGATAGTGATAGTAGTTAGGAGACTCTGGCAATAGTCTAGGTATAATGTGACAAGGGAAGAGAGATGTGAAAAGAAGAGAAGGAAACAATCATTTGCCAAATGATGGGAAAGGAGAGAGAACAAAAAATACAAAGCTTCCAAACCTGAGTAACAGAACACTAGGATCACACAAAAACAGTTAGAAGGGAGAATAGATCTTAGACGTGGAATTCTGTAATGAGAGGTGATGGAAAACATCAAGTCATTAAAACTATCAGGTGATTAAAAACACAGAAAAAAATACTGATAAGAAAAGTATGTATCACCATAGCATCTTAAAGTTTAAAAACTAATTTCATATGAAGCTAAATACTTAATGAAGATAAAGAAAGGATAATTTCTATTACTGAATCTTCTAATGCTGTAGTTAAAACGTATGGAGTTTAGTAGAAAACCTAAGAAGTTTCATTTATTTGTCTGCCCAATAATAAAATTAAGTTATTAAGACAGAGTAGACTAACAAAATAAGACTTCATATTGCTTCCTTTTTTGTATTAGCATTCATCTTTTCATTTAGTTATTATCTTTTATAAAACATAATTACTGTATTTTGTACAGTACAAAACACAATTACTGTTTGATAAAAACTAAAAAATGTATATATATCTTTAGGACATATGTAAGGAAAATAATAGCTACGTAGAGAAAACAAGCCATTTAAAGAGCATTGTCTTAGGCTGCCATGAGCAGAAATCATTTTAGTAAATTCTTAGATAATACTTCTCAGAAAAAAAAAAATTTCTAAACTACCAGTATTCTAAGGGTTGCAAATACTTTTGAGATGCTCTGTTACCTTTTAATAAGGAATAATAAATTATAAATACCACTTATTTTTAATATTTGGATGTACCTTATGACTTGTACAATGCATTTCTTTAGAGTTGACATCAATGGAACAGTGGCCGAGTTTCTCAATGCCAACAAAACAGGATGTTGTCCGAGATCTGAAACATGTGGGGAAGCTGGAAGAAACCGCCCAACATACTGCTCAATAACATTCCCTAGCAATTGATTCAAATAGGCATTTGGATTTTGAGACTGACAACACACGATACACATGCCCTGCAAGAGAAAAAAAAAAGAAATACTAAAAGGTAAAGTTAAAAAAAATATTTAGGAACTTATTAATTTAGTCCCCAGCATTAATATTCATGTCAGAATTCGTAATTCACCACAATCAACAAGGATACTGCCCATCATCAATAGATAAAGTTTACATGAAGCTCAGGGAGTTGCTGAGCTGGGGTAACACCAAGCTGTGGTATCTAACCAAACATGCGTGTCTTTGGGGCATACCCAACGGAAGCAGGGGAGAAGTGTAGGAAGACAAAGGAAGCTTCCTTCTTCTCTCATCCTCAGAAAACTTGATCACCCATGCTTATCAACTATATATATGTGGTTTTCTAAAGTTATAAAATATATTTTAGGTCAGTTTTTCAATGTAGGATACTGGTCATTTGTCTGAATAAGACTAAAAAATTTATGCTAAAAATCTTCCATTTTACGAAAAGTGATAAAATTAAAAAAGACTCAGAACAATGACAATTTATTTCCATAGGTTTTTTTTATGTCAGGCAGTGTGCCATGTGCTTTATATTCATTATTTCATTTAAATTTCTCAAAAAACCATTGACTTAGTACTACTGTATCTTCAATTTTACAGCTGGGGAAACTGAGGTTTAGAGAAGTTGAGTCTAATCAAGGTCACACAGAACTCACAATGTCTTATTGCCTCTCTGCTGATTTAATTCCTTCCATCTGTATAGAAGCTAACAAAATACTTCCATATGGATTACAGTATCCGATACTGACAAACAATTAAACCAACATCCTAAGAAACAGAAATATTTTTGCCAATGTTACTAAATATTGCATATTACTAAATACAGATAATCACCAAACAACAATAAATTATGTTCTAAAAGTTCATTTATTATTTGGTACTTTGTGATTCACAATGTGTTTACCCAAAGAAATAATTAGAAATGTTTATGTCTCCATTTTAGCTATAAATGGATACTTACCTAATAAGAAATTTTGAAAGTTTATTTGTAATGAAAAATAGCATAGGGCTGTTAAAACACTAGCAATTAACCAACAATTGAAAAAAAAAAAAATGGACTACTCCTCTATCCTGTTTCTTCAATGCTTTGTTTAAGCGAAAAGCACATTAAATCAGAAGATGAAGTAATAAATGGATACATTTTGAAAATTCTGAAGAGGAGAGCTGGGTACCTTTAAGAAATTAAAGATATAGCTCCAAATCAATTCTCCCAAATGGAGGATTCATCAAAACTTCAATTTACCACTTAGGAAGTTTATAAGAATTCTTATTTAGTGTACTATTTTGGTTTAAGAGGGCCACATGGAATAAGCACCCCAGACTCTCCTGCTACCCACAGCTCCTCTCCACCCATCTTCCCCCCGTGGGATTGGCAGTGCTTTATCTTCCTACTAGCAGAGACACTAAACTTTGTTTTAAATGCTATCATGAACAAAATTAAAGAGCCAACTTAAAATTTCTTAGAAATGGTAAAACATCTCTTTAAAAATATCCATCTGTGGAACAGACTGCTTATTGCCGAATCCATTCTCCCCTTCCTCCTCAGCTTTCCTTGCTGGGCCCCAAATTAAGAGGCACTTATCATCAGGATCAGACACTAATGAATAACAAAGCACACCTCCAACTCCTTCCTTTCCCCTGAATGATAGATCAATATTTCTAAGTGCCTACTGGACATCGTTACCTAGACAGACTACAGCACCTCAAAGCATAGCTGTTCAGAAATCAATTCTTACCCTCATCCCTATATCTCCAGAATCTCCCACTTCAGTTAGTAGTACCAACTATCTACAGAAGCAGTCACTCTGGAATCTAGGAAGTATTCTCCTTGTTTCTGTTGCCCCACAACACTCACTCAGCAAATCTTTTTGATCGGAGCCCTAAGTGTTTCTGAAATCTGCTGTGTGAGCTCTCTACCCACTGCCTTAGTTCAAAACCTTCAGATAACGAACTACTCACCGCCTCCCAAGTCTCCAGTCTAACCTCCACACCAGCTACCTTAGATGTTGCCACCAGAATCATCTATCTAAAATGTAAATATGATATGTCACTCCCACTTCTCTGCTCAAAATCCATCATCAGTCCCCACGCAGAAGAATAAGTCCAAACTTCTTAGCAGGCATATAAAGCCCTCCATTATGTGGCTCCTCCCGTATGTCTCCAGCCACGACAGAATTATTTGCTTTTCCCCAGTGTGTCCTATTTTCTTAAAGTTCTTGCCCTTTACATGCTGTTCCCTCTGACAGGAATAGGCCTCCAACTCCTACCCACCCTGCTCTTTTACACGTAACATTCTTTCCACCGTCTTCTCTCACATCTCCTCAGTCCAGTCTGGCTGACAGACAGCTGAGGTCTCGAAAGGAAACATAGAGCACACTGCTGTAAATGTCTATGCTGGTCAGCCTCCTCTCTCAAATTTAAGCTTCTTGAGGGTGGAGATTTTGCCTTTTCCATCTTTGTTTTCAGAGACAAACACAAAAGGAATTTAAAACTTGTTCAATGGAAGCGCCACACGCACATACATACACTGGGATTACAACGTATGGGTTTTAAATCTGCAGTTAGTAAACTGTTTTAAGGTAAAGTTTCAGTTTTTTTTTTTTACTGTTAAGCAGCCACACTTACTGTACCTGGAGATACAAAGGAAGACTCTTCTGAATTGCAGTTAACACAGGTGCAGGAAGCTCCTTCTCTTGCTGTAACACTGTATGTGGCAGCAGTAAACAATCTATGATCCGGAACAGTAATTTTTGGGCTTTAGAGGTGGCAAAGATCTGTGCCCATGATTTAACAAGAATTCCTAATAAAGAAGAGCAGTGACAGCAGTGAAGGTTATCTTCTAACCAGAAAATTTGTCATTCCACTAAAAAAATGTATATTTAAAGCACATAGGACCAGGTTAAAGTATGTAATAGGAAGAAACATGTATTAGGAGTCAAAAGACCTAGGTCAAGTCATATTATTTCATGAAAGAGACAAATCTCTCTCTGAGTTCTGGGCCAAGAAAAACATGCATTTCCTGAGCAACCAGCATTTAATACATATACCCTCATACACAGCGTGATTTGGTTATACATTACGTGACTATATACGTTGAATGCTGCAATTAATTAGATCCTTTGGCTTTGGCCACAAGGAAACTCAGAGGGAAATTTACAATCCAACTTTAAGAACACTATAAGATCAGACATTATGCTTTTACGTGAATATTCACTTTTCCCTGGGCTTCATCATGCTACCCCACATTTATTTTGTTGATATCCTTATTTATTTATTTTTTTATCTTATACATGATTTTATAGGCTATCTCAACCCAGTTTGCAACGAGAAGAGGTATAACTAAATTAATTGCTAAATTAGGAAAGAAGAATTAGCTGTAACACCTGGAAGCAATCACTTAACCTCCTTGAGCTTCAGTTTTTATAACTTGCAATTGTTTAATATAAACAAATAGTGAGTTTAAATTTTGATTCTGAAAGAAGAGAAATAGACTTCTTTACTACATGAAATATATTCTGTTTTCCTTAATGCTGGGAGCCTGTCAATTGCTACCTTTGAGGATAGTAAAGCTTAACAAATTAGCACCCTTTGTTGAATAAAGTAATTAAGGGCAGATATACAGGCATACCTCGTTTTACTGCACTTCACTTTATCGAGCTTTGAAGATATTGCTTTTTAAAAGACTTTCCACCAGCAAAAAGATTGTGACTCACCAAAGGTTCAGATGATGTTTAGCATCTTTTTAGGAATAAAGTATTTTTTAATTAAGGTAGGTACATTGTGTTTTTAGACATAATGCCATTGCCCACTTAGACTACAGTATAGTGTAAACCCAACTTTTATATGCACTGGGAAACCAAAAATTTCATGTCACTTGCTTTATTGCAATATTGCAGTGGTCTGGAACCAAACCCACGATATCTCCCAGATATGTCTGTATAATTCCCATTAGATCATATCACTGCTATTGAGGTCTCCTTTACTGAAAAAACAAATTTAAAAGATCATTACGTGCTTGCCCAAAAAGCACAGTGGTGTATGTACTGCATAAACTTTCACATTTTACTCCATCTTAGAAAGCAAAAAAGATGATAAAATTCAAAGTCATTTCCATAGAACAAAAAGTTTAAAATTCAAGCTTTGAAGGAAAACAAAAATATGCTTAGAGAAGAGTATATTGATGTTTAAAAAATAACCCAACCAATAATCACTTCTAAGAACAACAAACAGCAACATTAATCTTCTGTTGTAACAGGAAATACAATAATCAATCATAAAGAAACGCAATGCTCACTTAGCAATATTTTAAATAACGCTGGCTTGCTCCTCATTTTTCTAGTAGGTGAAAAACTTGGGAATGACAGCAATGTAAGAAGAACTCACATTCTAACGAACATTAATATACCCGTAAGGGGAACTGCCATCACCACTGACATTTGAAATGATTCATATCATTCTTAGGTGTCACGCAGGTATTAACTCATAAAGAGCAAGGACCTTCCAACCAAAAATGCATCATCTACCCTTGTACTTCATCTTCTGCAATGGTTAAACCACTGTGCTGAAGACCTTAAGTTTTATGAGTTCATAGAAGGCAGAGGTGATACATTTGTTTTACTGCTATTTTCAGACCCCTACCTTTTTAAGCTTCAGCAAAGAATATTTGAGTGTGTATGGTATTAAAAGTGCAAATAATTGCATTTATAAAATAACTAATGATGTTTAATAATTTCACATGTTCTTATTGTCCACTTATACATCTTCTTTATTAAAGCGCCCATTCAAGTAAAAAAAAAAAGTGCAAAGAGAAAGCAATTTTAAAGTAAAACACTTTGGGAAAGGTTTAAATAGAGTAGCTTTGTAAACTAAGTCTTCTTCTTGGCTCTAAACATATTACTTATTTACTGATGAAGCTGAAAATATAGAAAAACTGTGAGGAACATACTCCCACAATCGAAAGAGAGCAGCACTACAAGAGTTCTTATGTATTTGCTTATTTTCTACTCCAGGTATATAGTATACCTTCAAAAAAAAAAAGGATTGGGATCATTACAATATATATTTTAAAAATGTATTTATAATTAGAAAGTAACTTTGGTCATTTAGAAACATTAAAAAATACATTATGCACTATTAGTTACGTTTATAAAACTAGTAAATTCCAGAAATATTTATTTAGTATATGCCATGTCCTACAATGGAGAAGCTCTTTAACTGATGTATCCCCGATTCTCAATCCAATGCCTGATACATACTCAGTAAATGTTCTTATTTGTTCAAAATACAACATGACAATGGGAATAAAAAGTTCAAAAGATATGGCCATTACCATGAGTAACTTTAAAACTTTGCAGAGACATGCTGAGTACACAAATAATTACAATAAATGGTAAGCTATGAAAAATATCATAAGAGAAGGACAGATGAACCTCAGTCAGGGACATCAAGTCTACTTGGGAGAGTGGGAAAGGTGGGACATCTAGGCTGGGCACTGAAGGGTCATGGGTCGAATTTCAGTTACAAAGACAAAAGGAAGGGGAAGAACGACAGTGAGAGAAGGGTGATCAAAAGGCAAGGTATGGAAACAGAAAAGTAAGAGATATAAAGAATGAGAAAAACCAAAAAAATGATGTAAAGAGGAGGAAAGTTGAAGATATTACTGATGGCTCAATCCTGCTTTCTGAGAAATTATGGAGCTACAATTAAGACCCCAGATGCCTTACTCTGAAGTGTGATTTTATCAACATTTTGTGCCTTTCGCCAGCAGCCTTGCAAGTGAACAGCAGAGGTATCCCCCATTGGGAACTGGCAAGGTAAATAAAGCACAGAGCTTCAGTGGTTAACCCTCTTTCCCTCAAGTGGATAGGAGCTACCAACCCCACACACTTAAAACAAGTTTGACCTCTCAAAAGTTTATACTTGCTCTTTCTCTATTTTGTTCTAAACCTTTTACATATAGAAGACAGTAAGTTATCTGTTCCTAATTTCTAATGAATAAATGGGCAATGCTGTAGCAGTATACTCTATTCCCAGTCTCTGAGAGCTAGAGGAAAGGAAGCAATACAGATCCACCTGCCGCTAAGTCAAAAATCAACCATGTAACAAAACAAAGAAGGCCCCCAATTCTTTATAAGGTCTACGTATCACCAATCCAAATATGATTTTGTAGTTCCTGATAAGACTATCACATATTTTGTAAAATAAAAATATATCCAGAAATCACACATTTAGCTTGGCAAAAATCTAATAGAGACTAATAAATTATAAGCCTAAGTGCTGAAATATTTATTAATTTACATTTTACTATGTTAAATTTATAATAAATTCTCACGTATTTTTCTCTAAAATTAAGATGCCTGAATTGCTACTATAGCTTTCACTATATTCTACATCATCCATATTTACACATTTTCGTATTCTCCTTTATCTTTCACAACAAAGATAAAAGGTTTCAGACAGCCCAAATCAGGTTTATTCATGTGTTCACAAGATCAAAGGGAACAGATACAAGGTTTTGGCCACAGAGAAATAAAAAAACCCCAAAAAACTTAAATTCTGTACAAAAACTTCTAAGGAAATCCTTTTCATTTCCCTTTATCCAGTTCCTATTTTTGGTTAGCAACATGGTTTTAGTGAACAAAGGTATTCAAATTACTGACTTCCTAAAGAAGGATGAACTCTGTTGTTATAGAATAGGCACAGAGAAAGATTTCTTTTTGAAAGGAGAAAACATAGTAATGTGAGAAACAAGATTTGAAGCATAAATATCTTTAGTACTGTAATAAATTCTTTCCTGACCTCCTTCATTCAGAGCAGACCATAAAAATAGAACAAAGTGATGGTTTTCTGATATTTTAAATTCTAACAAAGCACAATAAGCATTAAAAAAAAGTCCATTTTAGTTATCCAGGTATTCACAATGTGAGTGACTCTCAACAGACTACTGATAGCAAATTGGTGTTGACATATTTTCAGTACTGATCATAATTAATTTTAATATTAACACAAGCATAACAAGAAAAGTTCTGAAAGAAGGTGGGGCAAGACAGAGATACACTGGAAAGCCTACATGAATTATTTTAAGCTAAATCATTGTCTTTCAGATTATTCTCATGATTGTACGGAGAACAGTGATTTAGCCAGTGTATTAGTATATTCCTATCCATCATGATACTATAGGCTCAACCCAAGGAAGTTTTAATAATGTCAGGAATACATACCCATCATCCTATAAGTCAGTTGCAGCCCTGCACTGGAAATTTTTTTTCCCAAATAAGGTTTTATGTATTTTAATATTTCACCAAGGTATTCTAAAGACTTTGTGACCATGGCAGATTTATCAGAAAGTTTCTGCAGATTCCCATAAGTTATACCAACAGCCTATAAATAAGAAAAAACACGATTTACCTTTCCAAGTTTTATACAATACAGACTTTGAAAAATAAAGATAATTTCTCTCTCACTATACACACATACACACACACACACACACACACACACACACATTTAAGCCTTCATCCTTAACTTTCCAATAAATGTTTATAGGAATTAAAAAGCAAGTGAAAAGAATTAAGTCTTGCCTTTTATAATTAAAATAAAGGTTAAAAGAAGAATAAAAAAATCAATTCACCAGTAATTATTCACACAAGGTCTGACTCAGCAAAGTGTTAGCAAAAAGATACATGGAACTGATACAAAAGAAGCTTATAACCAAATCACATCAAGACTTCCAAACATCCTAGTCTACTCTACGACTGGGAATTTCAGATCCCCAAATTCTTACAAGGAAGACCTACAAGCAAGGTGACCAACTTCTTACAAATAAGACCTCTGTATAGTTCAGCTTTGTGATATGAATTGATTTCTTCCCCAGAATTTTCTTTGCAAGCCATTAGATGCCAGCTTAACTTTCTCATAGGAAAGGATTAGGCACAAAGGGTAGAGATGGCAAAATGGGGAGATAATAGAGAGAAATGTGAGGTGAGGCAGTAAGAGAAGAACAGTGAAGTGTGAAGAGAAAGGGAAATAAATGAAAAAGTAAGTTGAGGAAAGGTGAGAAGTCACAAAAAGAATCAAGAGAAGACTGGCTAGAGACAGGTTAGGAGGTTTGAGAAGAGTAGTCAAGTTTCAAACCATTATTGGAAACTTACAGTGGATTTCAATGACCTAAATTGGACATAAATGGCACCAATATACATAATTATATGATTTTTCTCCTGCGGCTCTCAGCAGATAAGACAAAAGAAAGAAAGCAAGTGGTTGCACCCATCCTAGGTTGAGAGGGTTTGTGGGTGTCACTGAAAGACAAAGGGTGGAAGATTGTGAGGGTGTTGGTGACAGCAGTTGAAGTGAGGCCCCCAAGGGGTCTAATTAAGGTGGATAGGGAAGGAAGTGGATGTTGAGAGGATGTTGCACTTGGAGAAAAAGGAGTGGAAGGTCATGATGAGGTCCCTCAGAGAGCTGGAGGCAGGTGGTGATAGTCAAAGAGCTTTAAAATGCTCCAAGTGATGCCATGGCTCAAGGTTGGTCATGGGAGTGGGCGGATGAAGTAGAGCAGAAGTGAAGGTCACTGAAAGACTACTGGAGAAACTTTGAAATGAGGGCTTAAGATAAGTTATCCAAGGTGATCTTAAGTTAGCCGTGCTGACAATAAAATGTGGAATGGAGGAAAAAATAAAGAACCCAGTGAACTTGAGTGATTGACTGTGAGGTGGACAGATGAGAACAACAAGAGAGACACTTGACGAACCCTCTTTTCGCTTTAGCTCTCTGCCCTTTGTTGTCTACACTTCTTTCCCTAGATCAGAAATTCTCAAGCATTTTGGTTTTAGTTCCCTTTTACACACTTAAAAATTGAGGCTCTTAAGAGCTTATTACTATTTGGGTTATATCTATTGATATTTACCATATTAGAAACTAAAAGAAAAAAACAAATTATTAGTTCATTTAAAAATAATAGACATTAAGTTAACATAAGTCACATATTTTTAGTGAAAAATAACTTTATTTTCCAGAACAAAAAAAAAATTTAGAAGTGGCATTTAAAAAATATTTTTGCAAATCTCTTTAATGTCTGGCTTAATAGAAGACAGCTAGATTCTCACATCTGCCTCTGCATACAATCTGTTGCAATATGTTGCAGAGGAAAACAATTTAGTTGCAGATGAAAACAATTCAGTCTCAAAAATATATGCAGCTAGAAGAGGAAGAAGTATTTTAAAAGATTTTTCAGATAACTGTGGGAATTCCCCTTTGATATTATACCAAAACTTGACAAGGGTATTTCTTAAAGGTTAGTTGTAATATGGAATCCATGAACATTTTGTATTCTGCTACATTAAAAGCCACTGGTCTATCTTGCTCTTTGAACGAATGTTTTATACCCATGCATGCTTTTTAAAAAGCTGGTGTTGGTCATTTGGAAAATTTTGGTTCACTGAGTTATATAGCTTCCCAATGTTGATATATTTCATTATCTATATTAAAAAAAAACCATATTCATTAATACCACCACCGACGTCATCAGAAGTCTTTAAACATCAAGAAACTCTTAAGCTCATGATGACAAACATAAATTTCCCCAAATTCTCATTTTCTTAAAAGCTCAAATTATGTTATTAGTAATAAACGCCATCAGGTGTGTTCTTTGTAGTGAGAGGCTCATTTTATTCACTTTTGAGAAAATGTCTGCCACGTACCCAAGTCTGAATAACCATACTTTGTCAGTTGTTCTTTCACGATGAAAGCAGTCAGTGCATCTTGCGACTCAAACGCTCACACAAGTGCTTTTTATTTAGATACCATCTTGCTTTGGAACACAGCTAAAGTACTGTAAGTACACTTTCTATTGTCATTCACAGAACATTAAAAGGGCATGTATTCAAGGGTCAAAATTTAATAAAATTTATAATTTTACTGCTTCATTAAGGATATTCTTAAATGAAACTGGCATTTTTTTCTGTGATTGCATGGCAATGAAATTATAATGACTACTGGTATAATCTTAGGCCATGGTGTTGATTTGTGCTAAAGATTTTGCACTTTTTGTGCAAATGTCAATATGCTTTTGAGCTTGTAGGACACCTGAAAAGGTATCAATAACCCCCAGAGCTCTATGAAACACACTTTTGAGAACCAGTGCCCTAGATCTCAATATTTCTCTATGTTTAGCCTTATCCCTCCTAAACTGCGAGATGTGTATTTCTCTGTGCCTTGACTATCAATATTTACGTGCCATATTATCATTTTTGTGCACACAAGTTAACATGGCAGGCCCAAGACTGCTATCCTTAAAAAGGATACTTGCAAAGTTGGCCCTTGGCTGGTGTTTGGGACCTTAGATTTTTCCCACCATTTCCTGATAAGAATGGCTCATTGAGCCTAAACTGTTTGCGCAAACAGTATAGTTTATGCTGAATATCTGCTTCCCTTCTGGGAGTCTAGAATTTTGTAAGTGCAAGGCAAAGGGGGCCCATGTGACCAGCCCCCATTAAAAACCCTGGGCACTGAGTCGCTAATGAGCTTCCGTGGTAGAGAACATTTCACGTGTGTGGGCACAGTTCCTTGCTGGAAGACTTCGGCATGTCCAGTGTAACATCTGGGACAGGACTCCTGGAAGCTGTGTCTGGTTTCTCCAGACTTCAGCCCAGATACTTTCTCTCTTTGCTGATTGTGGTTTGATTCCTTTCACTGTAAATAAGTCAGAGCTGTAGTACAACTATACGCTGATTTCTGTGAGTCTTCCAAGTGTACACAGCACCTGAGGATGATCTGGGGGGCCTGAGACACAACCTTAAACTAAATAAGTTTAAAACTGAACTCCTCACCTACTTCTCCCCTACCCTCTCACGATGTTCCTATTTCTCCTTAAGCTATCTCATTCTTCTAGTTAAACACAGTATTTACTTCATATTCACTCAAAAATCCCATAATTCAATCTTCAATTCCTCCTAAATCTCACTAGTTTCTGGCCAATAGTTCTTCTCACCTTTAACCTACTTTATTGTTACTAATTCTCTTAAAAAGACATTTGATCAAATCAGATCTACTTAAAAATTTATAAAGCCTTCACACTGTTCACAGGATAAAATCAAAACTTCTTATACCAAATGCTCTGAATTCTTAACCTACTAATAAATCTATCAACTAATTGACACTTAGCATATACTGTCTTATATTATTATTTTAACCTTTGTGTATATCTTGTATTCTCAGATAAGTAAAAGTTCTCTAAGATCAAGGACTACTTCTTTTGGTTCTTCAAATCTCTGAGAAATCCTAGCATAATACTATTTAGCATTTAGCAAACAACTATTATTTACTGAGTGATGAAGAGCAATTAATTTGGATTGGATGAAATTAGGAGAGCCTTTGAAAATGATCAGTGGAGAGCATGATTTCTACCTCCCTTTCTGGTCCAGTATGGTTGCTAGCACAGGTGTTTAATTAATTACAGGTTAGGATCCAATCAACAACTAAATAAAAGGCTCAACAGAAATGTGTATTTTATATCTGCACACACTATTACTAAATATTTTTAGGATTTATATGACATCCCTAATTGTGCTTTAACTTAATAGTTGTACAATTATGCTTTAACTTAATGGAAACCAATGAAAGAATTCACATTTATGGAAAGAGCTTATGGGTTGCAACTATTTTCACCGCAGTTAATATCAACCACTCTGTGGGAAAATAAACCAACTTTTACTGTGAATAGTTTACAAAAACACTAATTCAAACACATTAACCACCTCAACTAGGCTATAAAGCAAAGACTATTCACATAAGATAGATTCCTAAAAAATTAATAATTTAAAATGTTGAATGGGACTATTTTTTATGGAGACAAAACAAAATGAACGGACTGGATTTTAAAACCCCAACCACACTATGATACGAAGTAGTTGGTACTTACACTAAATACACTAAAATTTCACTGTAAAATTTACACTGTTTGCTACAAGGTGGCAAACATTACGTTGGAACTATTATGGACCATATATAAGGAAATTTAGTTCCCACGCACCTGAAGAATATTGTTATACAGCAATTTGAGCAATACGAAATTCTTACAATTTAGATCAGCCTTAGAGTAAGGCTTTTATATAGCATTCTTTACTCTTTCTATTTTTCATTAAATGTAATTCTTCCGCTGTCCGTAAGAGTGAATTGTACTATAGTTTAGATTCACATTTTTATTTCTCCAGAATTTTATAATAGCAGGCAACCAATAGTATGATTCAACTTAAAAGAATTCATTTTATAGAAAAATTTTACGAACACTTCAAGTTTTTTTTTGAAAAATAATTGTAACTGATCTGGACAATTATATATAATTATATAATAAATGAAAATACCTCAAGGAATCGAACAAGTGCTTTTCTAGGGTCTTCTGGGATGGGTAAATATTCAACTTGAGCCTCTGAGAAGATATTCTTTACTTCTGAGAGTTTAAATAGCAACCTTGTCAATTCAGTCAACTGTTCCATGTACTCTTTTTCTGTTAAAATAATAATATTTATATGTTATTACATAAATTTATATTTTATATATATATATACGTGGGAGAGAGCAGAGAATGTAGCATTCTTTTAAATTCTTTTTTTTTTTTTGTGAGGAAGATCAGCCCTGAGCTAACATCCGTGCTAATCCTCCTCTTTTTGCTGAGGAAGACTAGCTCTGAGCTAACATCTATTGCCAATCTTCCTCCTTTTTTTTTTTCCCCAAAGCCCCAGTAGATAGTTGTATGTCATAGCTGCACATCCTTCTAGTTGCTGTACATGGGACGTGGCCTCAGCATGGCCGGAGAAGCGGTGCGTCGGTGCGCGCCTGGGATCCGAACCTAGGCCGCCAGTAGAGGAGCGCACGCACTTAACCGCTAAGCCACGGGGCGGCCCTAGCATTCTTCACTTATGACATGCTTTCTTTTAAAATTCAAATTTCCTTATAATTAAAAACTTTGAATTAAGTTTCTCTCACTAAGGAAGGTTTTATTTAAAAACCAACAAATACGTACTCACGAACATTCTATCCCCAAAAGTTATTCATGTAAAGCCAACTGATGTAATAAGATATCAAAGCAAATGTGGAGCGTTTTTTCAGTCTAGTCTTTGCGTGATTTGTAAATGACCATAAAGAATAGCTTTAGGAAATGGCATGTCCTATAGACAACCAGACCAGTACAGGATATTAAAAAAAAAAAAAGTACAAGTATCACTCACTGACTAATATTAAAGCAAAAGAAAGGCAAAATATCTAATATAACATGGGAAAGAATTATTCTAATTGGGTATTTTTCTTTTTAGGGTGCTCACAGTGTGATATCTACTTATTTACTTCATATTTCCACTTTTTTTTATGATCAGGCCTATCACCTGAGAGCAAGTTTTTGTTCCTGGCTTCCAAGGAAACAAGTTCTCTTATCTTTACAGAAGAGAAATTTGTCATATATAGTACCAGGAAAATATCAAGAAAAAGAAACAGGCTGTGAACAGAAATAAATTTGTTTATATTCATACATAATTACAAATATATTTTGTATCTTTTATATTAATTTATGCAACAAAACAGGAAATTTTAAATATATTTATCTATCCAGAAAGCAAAAGGGCTACAATACTTACCAACTGCCTGTTCAGGACTTAAATCAATGAACACATCATCAGGCACAGAGAGGTTTTTCACATACATTTGCAAAATGCAACGGATCCATGATCTTATAGTTAAAGCTTGGAAAGATGAATGAGAAAGTGCTTCACATAACATGCTGTAAAAATAAGTTGATGGGTATTAAAAACAAAAATAAAAACAAAACCCTGACAGTATGTTCCCTGAGTATAGAGATTAAGAAATAAAGAAAAACATTCTAACATTCCCCACTTCTTGGCCTCACTTATTTTACAGACAAACCCACTAACGCAGACATGCATTGCTGAAAATGAATACCACAGATACACACAAAAGGCTATTTTAGATAAGCATTATTGCTTTCATTTGCAATGTTCTAATTCTTAATTTTCCTTTTTCCACTGACGGCATATGTGTAGGCTTACGCCAAGGGAGAGAGGTAAGGAAGAATATGGTTAAAATGGGAAAAGCAAGGAAGGAGATTATAACTAGCTAGGTGAGATAATGAAGGAAGTAGCAAGTAGAATAAAAAACAGAGACCCTTAGAGTAAATAACAGAGAAGCAGTCATGATCATATATGTAAGAAAGAAGTTAAAGATAAAATATTCTATGTGGATCTCCTGACCAATCCCATTCCCATCCTCTCCTTTTCTGCTCCCCTATCCCACAGGCAGTCGTTAAAGAATTCCAAAATAACATCAGACAGAATTTTTTTTTAAATTCTTTCTACAAAGCCAAAGGCCTGGCTAAGTCTGATTTCTAATCATTTCCTAAGTGGGAGTAGAGAGGATGAGGATGGTCTTAAGTTAACCATAAATTGTTATGCAAAGTCAGAAATTTAAAAAAATACATATAAATCATAACTCGAAAAATACTATTTTGAAATCCTTTAAATACAAGTTGTCATAAAAAGAATACACAGGGGCCGGCCCAGTGGCGTAGTGGTTAAGTTCACATGCTCCGCTCCGGCAGCCTGGGGTTCGCAGGCTTGGATCCCAGGCACAGACCTACGCACTGCTTATTAAGCCATGCTGCAGCAGGCGTTCTACCTATAAAGTAGAGGAAGATGGGCATGGATGTTAGCCCAGGGCCAATCTTCCTCAGCAAAAAAAGAGGAGGATTGGCAACAGGTGTTAGCTCAGGGCTAATCTTCCTCACCAAAAAAATAAAATAAAATAAAATAAGAATACACAATACAGAAGAACTCAGATTGGTCATTTATTACCTGTACAACCTTCCCAAAGCTATCTGACATCTTTGCATTTTAGTTTCTTCAACTGTTACTAATACTAATACTAATACCAATATGATTTTTTTTTTAAATAATTTTATTTATTTATTTTTTTCCCCCAAAGCCCCAGTAGATAGTTGTATGTCATAGCTGCACATCCTTCTAGTTGCTCTATGTGGGACGCGGCCTCAGCATGGCCGGAGAAGCGGTGCATCAGTGCGTCCCCGGGATCCGAACCCGGGCTGCCAGCAGCAGAACGTGCGCACTTAACTGCCAAGCCACAGGGTCGGCGCCCAATATGATTTTAAAGGCTAAAATTATTTCAGATAATTTTGGCAAAAGTGTTTAATAAATAATATAAATTTTTGTTATTACAGAATTCTCAAGCTAGAAGGGATCCTAAAAGTAATCAAATTGAAGTTGAACTCCCTTACTTGACAACTAAAAGCCAATGAGAAAAAGACTTAATGACTCTGGTTAATGAACTTCCTTATGAGAAGACTACCTCACCAACTGCACCACTCTTCATTTCCACTGCCTGGCACCTTGGACAAGAACTACATTGGTCTCTTAGGTTTGTGTATTTATTTTATTTTGCTTCATCTTGATATTCTTATTCAAATCTTCCTCTTACACTACACTATTTCTATTTTAACTTATTTACTGTATATTCTATTAGGTTTCTTCAGATCTCTTACATAATGTGGCAGGAGATTCTTATAAATACGGAAACCAGTGTTCACGGTGGTGGAATGTCTTGTTTACGATTGCACAAGAGTCAAATCTTTAAAAATCTAGCTCTGAAAAGGAAAGCTATCAGTAAATCTGAAATGACAATAATATACCAGTGTCTTAAAGATTCAGCAATATTAATTGTTTAATTTCTTTCACAATGCTGAGGGTAGAAAGGTCATTTCAGGATGAGAATAAGGCAGTCGCACAAAAACAGTTTTTAAAAAGGGGTTAAGCATCAACATTTTTTTAAAAAAGCAGGCCATGAAACACAAATGAGCTTTCCTACTATTACTACTGTCAAAATGCTGATACTTCCAAAAGCAAAAAACTGCCCAAGTGAGAGTATACATAGTAAAGATCAGTTTTCATTTGTGAAAATTTTTACTTTCCTAGTGTACTGATCTATCATTTACATTAATGTGCATAACTGAAACAAAACCACTTACCTATTTTGTAAGAAATGACTTAAATATCTTGCTACAACTTGGGGCCAGAGGATATCATCCCAACCAAAAAGTTGTATCATTGAGATAACTGGCTGAGGCTGAAGATCGGATGGAGCTGTGCTGGGCATGTCCATTGCTAGCAAAGTAAAATCTAGATTTAAAATGAGAGAAACTTATGGTGAGAAATTTTTAAAAACTCCCCTCCCAAAATTATTATCAAGAGTAGTAAAAAAATTTCAGCACTAAATATCAAAATGTTACATTTAGAAATGTAGAACTAACAAAAAGCTAAAACTGAACTAAATTCACGTTGTCAAAGAAATTTCTACAGCAATCATTTAAAGATTTTATTTATTCAGTTTTTTCCCCCCAAAGCCCCAGTAGATAGTTGTATGTCATAGATTCACATCCTTCTAGTTGCTGTACGTGGGACTCGGCCTCGCGCTGGACGGAGAAGTGGTGCCTCGGGGTGCTTCCGGGATCCGAACCCAGGTCGCCAGCATCAGAGCGCGCACACTTAACCGCTAAGCCACAGAGCCGGCCCTCTACAGCAATCATTTAGATCTCCAAGAAAGGGTCTAAGATAATCTATCTCACCTTTATCACAGTGAATCTATAATGGCTCCCTCAAATTGCAAATTCTAAACCTGATGTTTCTGCTAATGTGCCTCCCTCACCTCATTCAAAAAACCCATTTGAAAAAATATTTCTAGCATCTACTTTTCTCTAATCAAGCTAATTTACTTGCCACCTACCACAGATGAAGAGTTCCCTTTTACCTTAGACACTGGACATTCTCTTCTATTAAACAGTGATCTCCTACAAATAATCAATGACACTCCAGAACCCACTAAGCCTAGGAACTAGAATTCCTTAGTTAACCATGTTAAACAAATACAGTTTATGATTTCCTGGGAATTCCCCAACTTAATTTGTACTATATTAATTTATGTTTGTCAATAAATTGCTTATTAAGCACTACCTCCTATGCAGCTCTCTCAAATGGTGGCTTTTATTCTTCCACTCTTCTCCTACCACTTGACCTACAGATGGGGTAGGTTTACTCCTTGGTCCACATTGCTGTTCTAGATCATTCTCCCTTCCTCCTGCCCAAAACCTCTAGCTTTGAATCTCATGTCATCAGATTATACCGGCCACTAACTCTCTTTGTTGCATTCCCCTCCTGTTTCCTAGTTTACCCCTCCTCATTCCGTGAAGATTGTAGCTCACTACCATTCTCTCTAACAGCACTCCTGTCATAATCCTTGATGATTTTTCTTCCAATACCCTGGCATCTCAGTTTCCTGAACTCCTTTCCTCTAAGGAATCTATCTTCCACTCTGCTTCAGCCATTCACTCCCACGGTGATACCGAGAGACCTTGGCATTGCCAATAAGTACAATTTCTCTATAATTTCAACTTTAAGGACACCACTTTCTGGCACCAAAATAGCTTTGCAACTCTCCTCCTCTAGGTCCCCAACTCCAATAATTCTCGGATTCTACCAGGACCCATAAGTCTTTGATCCTACAACTTTTTCCCTGTTCCTCATTGCCTTAGCGTCTTCCTTTCCCTTTTCAGGCAGCTTGACTGCATCATCCATTATTATACTCATTTATGTAAACGATCAACTCCCTTCCTCCTTACTTATTAGCTATACTTGCCTGGAAAAAAAACCCCACCATCTGTTTAATTCCAACCCTTGGTCTTCTCCCCACATGCACATGCACCAGTCAGTATAAATGGCTGGTGAGCAACCATGCTGACTGATGTCACTTTAAATTTATGACTACAAACTTTAAGTGGGCCCTTAGAGCTGGGCAGCATTCCTACTACATTTCTTTAGTCCATTCAGTCTTAAATTCTCCTAGAGGACTATTATATACCTTCTCTCCTCTCTCTGTCATCAGCCAGCACCTCCTCTCCATTCTCACTTCAGCCAATGAACTTACTACTTCACAGTGAAATGAGGAACATCAGAAGGGAACTACCACAAGCTCCCACCACATCTACGCAGTGGCTTCCAGCTGGGCCCATTTACCCTGCCTTCTCTTCTTCTACTACGGGTGACCTGAAGTCAAGGCCTTCATGGGATCCCATTTCTCTTGGACATTAAAACACAAGTGACTCTCTTGCATCATCAAGTTTTCCCTCACTCCAGAACACTCCTGTCAGTATTACAAATATGTCTGAAATTTTTCTCATGTTATTAAAAAAAATCTTTGACCCCACTTCCCCCTCTACCTAACATCCTCATTTTTCTACTTCTCTTAAACAGTGATACTCAGGGCCAGCCCTGGTGGCCTAGTGGTTAAGTTCGGCGCACTCTGCTTTGGTGGCCTGGGATCAGTTCCCAGGCATAGACCTACACCACTCATCCCATGCTGTGGTGGCGGCTCACATACAAAAAGAAGAAGATTGGCAGTGGATGTTAGCTCAGGGTGAACCTTCCTCAGCAAAACAACAACAACAACAACAATAAAAACAGTGATACTCAAAAAGATTCACCTACATTTGCCATCTGTAATCCCTCTTCTTACATTTTCTATTGAATCATCTTCAATCAGGCCTTTGCCTCTACCACTAAACCAAAACTCCTCTTCAAGGTCACTAGTGACCTCCCTCTTGCTAAATCCAATGACCGACTCTCAGGCCTTATCTTACTTAACCCATTAACAGCATTGCACTGTTGATCACTTCTCCTTCCTTGAAATGCTCTGTCATTTGATTTCCAGGGCACCACACTTTCTTGGTTCTCCTCTCACCTCATTGGCTCTTCTTTACAGTCTCCTTTTTGGTTCCTCGTTAGCCTACAAATCTGAACACGGGAATATCCTAGGGCCCAGTCCTCACACTTCTCTTTTCACCAGTACTTACTCTATTGGTGATCTCACCCAGTTCATAGCTTTAAAGACTATTCATACATGAAGTTTCCAAATTTAAATCTCCAGCTTGGAACTCTTCCCTGAACCCTAGGCTCATTATCCAAGTGCCTCCTTAACATCTCTACTTGGATTTTAAGGGATATCTAAAAAAAATATGTGCAATATGAGAATCTCAGTCTTCCTTCATAAAATCTGCTCCTGCCACAATTTTCCTCATCTCAGGAAATGGGGGATTCTCTTTTTATGTATTTAACGTACCATATTGTACCCATTTAGAAAATTTTGTCAGCTCTACCTTCAAAATACTCTCTCTACCTTCAGACTAGAAGTCTGACACTTCTCACCACCTCTGCTGCTACCACTTTAGCCCCAGCTGCTCAACTCTGAGTTGTTGCAATAGTTCCGTAACCGGCCTTCCTGTTCCTCCCCTTGCCTCCCTATAATCTATTTGCAGTCTAGCAGCCAGAAGGATCATAACACTCCTCTGCTCAAAACTTTCCAACAGCTTCAACCTCAGAGTAAAAGCAAGTCTTTACAAGTGCATACAAGGCAGAACACAAACTACCTCTCCATTACCTCTTGAGCACATCTCTGACTACTCTCTCTCCCTTTCTCATACCACATGAGCTTTTACGGCTTCCCTATAGTTCTTCAAACACACCAGACATGCTCTTGCCTCTGGACTTCTGCACAGCATCCGTCTCTCACCTCTTTTAGGTTTTTGCTCAAATGGTACTTACTCAGGCCTTCCTGACTACTTTATTTAAAATTACAATCTGCCCCTGGCCTTCACTATCCCTATCCTCTTCTATATTTTTATTTTTCTTCACAGCACTTATCACCATATAACATATTACACATTTTACTTATTTATTGTTCTCTCCCCCACTAAACTATAAGCTCCACGAGAACATGTAGCTTATGTAAGAGAAAAGGAACTGTACCCCTTTTTCCCCACTGGAATATCCCCCCGGCAGTAAAAGTGGGTACTTAATGACTGTTTTGTCAATATAGGAGATTTTTCTCTTCTAACCTATCAAGTCTTTATTTCAAAACAAACCCAAAACCCACACATATTTTGCTTTATATTTATATACCACTTACTTTCAGCACCTAGGACAGCACTGACTAAACCTGTCTGGTATCATTTTTGTTCCCTGACTGGAAGTTGGGATGATGAATTAAAGAAACATAAGTCCTATCGGCTAGTAATGACTGCTTGGTTAAACTGATTGAATATCAATATTTATTTCCATAGACATTACAGTAGTTGGAAAACTGTTGCCCGGTCTCAATTCTTCAATCTATTATTGTAAAGTTTTAATTATGGAAGTGTTATCAGAATTCAAGATCTTTTACAATTTATATCATTCGGTCTTTTATGTAGTGCTTTTAGCTCAGCTTTCCTCATTCACACCAGGGTAAAATAAACCTTGGTTCAGATCCTATGTTTTTAAAATCATTACATTTAAATACATTAAAAATACCTTCGTATAAATTGCATTTAAACACAAACAGTCGCTATATTGATCTCTGTCTATTCCAATACTTCTTAACATATTTTGGACAAAATATCCCTTTGAGAAAGACAATGACTTCTTATAAAACTGCATATATGCACATATATTCAAATTCTTGCCTACAATGTCATGTGATTTAGAGTCCCTTAAAGCCTAAAGACATGTCCTTAGGCTAATAATCAAATTAAGTAAAAATTACAACCTAAAATAGAATCTAGTAGAAGTCAGAACAATAACATTCTATATATTCGATGTCATTCTGATCTCATCTGCTTGGTGCTGAAGTGGAATTCATGCTATATTCTTTTGCTCTTTATACAAGCAACTTCATCTTATACCTAGATTATTTGCACATATAATCTGAAAATAAACTACTTGAACCAGAAGAAATCAAATATTACTTTACTTTCCAAATATTGCATGCATAAGAAAAGTTGATATACATTCAATATTTTTAAGATTGAAAATTATCTTTTATTTTTAGCAAATAATCACTTAATTTTTACCTTTACTAAGAGGAAAATAATAAACAAGACAAAGAATCCTAATTTAAAACTAGGTAATTCTTTTCATCTTTCTGGTTGTCAAAATATTTATTACACCGTAATAAAATAAGAGTTTGTTACTAAGCAAATAGAAGAAAAAACTGACAGTCTGCAAAATGAGAAACTAATTAGCAAATTAACAACGCTGACCTGCAGCTGCATCGGCAAGTTGTGAGAGAGGCACTATCTGTGACATTCTCTGACTCTTCAAAAAGGAAAAGAAATGTCTCCACAGTGCACTGGCAACTGCAGCAAGGTGGCACTCTTTAGCTAATAATGAAGACTGAACAATTAGGTCCACATTCTCCTTTTGAAGTTCCTGACACAATTGTTGATGCATACTCCTAAAAAGAAATAAAAACATAGCTAACACCCAACAAACACTTACAAAAATATTCTTTAAATACATTTGGGGCTTTTAATATTTATGCCATATGAAAACTGAAGGACTGTTTTATATAATTAAAACCTTTATGCTAAGACATTATGCATTTCTGGTTATTTGATGGATGAATGATGGCATATTAAGCACCATAAAGTTAATGTTAATTACTAATGTCAACCATTAATTATATGCTTTTTAATATGTCAGATTCAAATGAGAAACAGGCAGCTTCAGAATGAAGGTCTACATTTTGCAACTCATTATGACAAGTGATTTTACTTACAATCTAGACACGAAAACAATTTTTTAAACCATTTTCTCCCGAGAGCTTTAGGGCATGGATGTATCAAGACGAAAGTAAGTATATCTGGCTTATGTGTAGTATTTTATTTTTTTATTTTATTTTATTTTTTTTAAATTTTTTGTTTATTGCAGTAACATTGGTTTATAACATTGTAAAAATTTCAGGTGTACATCATTGTACTTCTATGTGTAGTATTTTAAATTAAAATATTTTCCTTGTTTAGAAAAAGACACAGGCCTTGTGCTACTATACAAAACTGTGCCAGATACAGTCTTAGTACCTTGGTCCAGAAACATCCATAATCATTTTCACATGGTACACAATAATAAACAATAAAAAGTTATTCTTCTCCATAAAATAATAAAACATGAATTCAGTACGCCTCAAATTTTGATTCATCATTTACTCACCTTTTTTTGCTTAATGCAATTGAAAATTTTGATATCTCTAGACCTTAATAGAAATATAAGCGGGGGGAATACTAGGAGATTTTCCTAGTGATCTGAAATAGAAGGCATTTATGCAATATGCCCAGCAATTAATAATGATTATTTAAAACTAAATGTACAATCATATTATTTCTGTTTCTGTTTATATTACTGCCAAACCAATTGAGAGTAGACACAAATACATGGATAATACTTAGACTTAAATTAAAGAGAAAGCAGTGAAAAATAACCAGTGGAGCTAAGGCAGAAAACTTCCTTCGACAGTAGTAGTATTCCATTAAGAAAAGTAATTAGTACTTAAAAAAAGAAAAAATATTACATTAATTCCAACATTCCTGATGTTTTAGTTTACCTAGGGGAAGCAGACACTTGAAACAACTATACAAAATCCCGAACCAGCTAGTACATGTACCTAAAGCAATTTTACAACAAAGATCAAACTGGTTGCAAGACCACATCTTAGTTCTTTTCACATAACTACACATAAGTAAGTAAAAATTATAAGTATAAATTATATAACATTAGGACTCTGCTGCTTTACATTGGAATTCTTGGAAAATCATGAGGCACTACTTAATACCACTTGAATTACCAAAAAAAAAGTGTACAAAAGCCTGGGGAAAGAATATCACAGCAAGCAATTCTTATAAAAGCTAACCAAATATCAGCTATGTCCTCTCTGTGTAAAAACCTGCCTGAGATGCTTTCAACTTGAACTAGCAGCTAGAGAACCATTTCAGGTCTTTTAGCTTTGAGTAAGATGAATATCAAACCACTAAAATCCATTTGGCAACTAACTCAACTGCCAACATCAACATAGCAAAGTTCATGAGTACATTTCAACACTGGAGTCCACATAAAATAATACCACCATTTGCACAACCCATTTATAGTTTTTTCAAAGTATATTGGTTTCAAAGAATAATAAATAACATGTACTTGGGTAGGATGGATTTTCCTTACTATTTCTAAATAAATAGTCATCTTCTTCAGTAACTAAAACCTATTCCCGAGGAAGGGGTATCATTTCTGATCATCTCCTATGTATCAGAAATTCTTTTAAATAAAAATCAGAACAACTGCATGAGATAGGTATCATTAATCCTCTTTATAGAGGATGAAGCTGATAGCAAGAAAGTTAAATAATATGCCCAAAGGTCACACAGCCACGAAGAGCTAGCCCCATAATCTGAACCTAAATCTCACTCTGAAGCCCATACTTTTCCCTTACACACAAAGATGCACAAAGACACACACACACACACAATTTAAACATTAAATTTTCTCTCTCCCTACTTGGGTTGAAGAAATTTCAGCAAGCCTAATAAAAGGAGCTGGAAAAGCCACATGTAGCTTTGCCTCATCAACAGGCTGGGGCAACACCAGAATTCTCTATTAGGAAAACCTGCAAGAAAAGATACCAAAATAATGCATTCAAGGCAATACTGACAAAGGCCAACAAATCTGAACCACTTTTGACCTCTCTAGAACTAAAATGCTGAGTACCAGGGAGTATAACTAGGAGTTACTGCAGGGTTCTGAGGCAGACGTCTGAAAAAACACAACCTCTAGGTTAAAAGTTAAAACTGGAGGCTACATCCTCCAAGATAGGAGTTAACACAGCAAAAACAAGTTCCAATTAAGTGTAGACATTGACCTAAAAGCAGACTTGGCTTGGAAATGTGTATCCATTTAGTGTTTTGGTTTGAAGAAAAGCTATATATCCTGGAAATATGCAAAATACTTTCTGCTCCATGGTTTGAATGTTCAAGCAACATCAGTCTGGATAAAAAGAATGATTAACTGCTATTTTAACACACAACAAAGTAATTTAAGACCTTATAATAGTTTCTGTAAACATGAAGAAATCAGAGTGGCAAATGCAGGAAATGCCAAGCATTTACTGTAATGGGAGTCTGAGGAAGAATCAAATTTCTGCACTACAGTCAAAATAGTTAGAAATACCCCTTGAAGTTATAGGTAATTTTTTAAATCACATATTCTGGACCAGAAAACTAACTACACAAAGACTACTGAAAAATAAATTTATTATATTAGATGTGACTGTACATCTGCTGAAGGTACATTTACAAAAATACAAATATTAAAAGAAGCTCTGTCACTAGCGATAACAAGCTAAAAGAAAACACAAAACATATATGAAATATATAAAGAATATAATATAGTTCTAGATGTCATGGCTATTTTATGAACCACTTTCTACCTTCTTACACAGTAGAAAAATATGAAAGTACATAAATTGATTGCACAAAAGGTAAAAAGTGATTTCAGGTCAAAAATAAAAAGAAGTATCACGCGAGATGTAGAATCACCCAACACTTGGCAAATGTTTTGACAAAGACAAACTTAACATGGGTTAAAATCATTTTGGAAATACACATGCATAACCAGCCCACTTACATTCTAAAACATGCAATATAGTATAGAAAATAAAACTTGCTGAATGTCAAATTATTCAAATATGCAGTTCTCATAGTAGAAACAATAGCAACATCCAGCATTTATTGGTATTCACCATGTGCCACACACCATGCTAAGTGTTTTATAAAGCATTATTTCTCACTCTATGAGTTAGGTACAACTATTACTTCAATTTTATAAGTGAGGAAATGGAGGCAAAAGTAGTAATGTGTTGGGTAACACAGCTGGTTATTAGCAAAGCTACTCAGAGCTGTGTGACCTTGAAAAAAACGAAGGGGGCCGGCTTGGTGGTATAGTGGTTAAGTTTGCATGCTCCGCTTCAGCAGCCCGGGGTTCATGGGTTCAGATCCCGGGCACGGACATACACACCACTCATCAAGCCACGCTGTGGCAGCGACCCACATATAAAATAAGAGGAAGATTGGCGGCGGATGTTAGCCCAGGGCCAATCTTCCTCACCAAAAAAAAAAACCACCAAAAATAGAGTAACCTCCAATTTTTCGTTTTCTTAAGAGTCAAGAAGAGGAATAATCATTTGCTATATTCACCGTTAGGTTTATTGTGAAGACTATATGAAATAACATCCTCGAAAGTGTTTAGAAACCTACCATTACACTATGTAAACACCCAAACTTTTACATACCCAGTTATCCAGGTCTTCTTAGGCTTCCATTTTAGCTCTGGCATCCTGCCCGCTTTGGCTCACATCATTATGTTGAAGCACTTTCTGGATTCCTGCATCTGACTGCTCTTTTGCCCCACTTTCCAAGATTTGTTGGAAATCAACAAATCCCACCCCCCCACACCCCTATACAGACACCCAAACGTACTGAGGCATCTATCACATGAGAGGCACTGAAACCTACACCAGACTGCTGCTACCTGCCAGCCTGGTGGCTAAGGTATGTTCCTCCCTAATAACTTGGGCAGGCTTCTAGGAACACTCACTGGACTACTATATATAGGTTTTACTTCTAATCTTCATATGCTCTTGCTTCTCCCATAACCGACAATTATGAAACAAGGTATGTCATCCTGTACATCACTTTCCTGGTAGTCATAGCTGTACATGTAATATTTCTAATATATTATGCCTCAACATTTAAAGAAAGTTGTATATTGATGGACTTTGCACCACATAGAAAAAGCATAATATAATAAATGCAACCAATAAGAGCTAACAGAAAGCAAGGGATTAACAACAATTAATAACTGAATTCCTTTTTTAGCTCGACTCCAAGCCTGACAACTTTCTTCAATCTACATTAGTGAAAAATATAATGGGAAGCTGTACGTTAAAAACTTGTTCTAAACCACTATAAGTAATTATTTCAAGTATCTGATTGATCTAACTAATAGAAAACTGGATGGGCATCAGGATACTCTAAGACTATTTTTAGCTTCAGCTAAACCCACTAAAAAACCTTAGGTACTTTAAATCCTCTTGTCATTCTTTTTCATATCTGTAAAATAGGACTATAATCTGCTTTACTATCCAAAAAGAATATAAGATAACCAAATAATAACATTACCAGAAAACAACCTCCGATTTTAAAGCTGAAAGCTACCCTAAAAATCATCCAATCCAATCCTCTCTTCAAAAAAAAAAAAATACAGCCTCCAGGTGTAAAGAGACTTCTGAAAAGCCTCACTATGAGATAATGGTAGCTTGCGGCCTGTCCCCCAATTCTGCGCATGCGCTAAGTCGGAAACCAGGCTGGCAAGCAGCAGCCCGGGCATACCTTGCAATGTCTCCCTGTAATA